GAGAGCACCCCGCTGGCCCGGGGCGCCGTGACTAAGGCGCCCGGCGGCGTCTGCGCGGAGTCCGCGGCGCCCCAGCCGCTGCGGCCCCCTGTGGGGACCCTGGTGACCAAAGTGGCTCCCGTCAGTGCTCTTCCTAAACTCGGCGGCGCCCCCAGGCTGCCCGCTCCCCCGATCGTCACCGTGAAAGCCCCCAACACCGCGACGATCCAGCTGCCCGCTAATCTGCAGCTTCCTCCAGGTATGTTCATCACCACTTCCAGCTCTTCTGTCCGTCCAGCCTGGGGTGACCCTGGAGACGCTGCACCCCGCTTGCTCCTTGCTCGAAGCTCTAAAAAAACACTCCGAGCCAAGAGAACCTTTCATAATCGTGACTTTGCTGTGAGTGTACAGGAAGCAGCCCATTGGGGAGTGATTTGGCTTGACAATTAATCCATCCTCTGTATGTCGTGACATTTCCTGTTTAGTGAAGGAATCTTTTCACCTGAGAAGACTGTCACTTTCTCCAAAGTTACAGATTTACACAGTGAAAGCTTGGAGGTGCATGCTCAGGAGGGCTCTTGAGGCACCAGCACCTAGGCACAAGGTGGCTAGAGTTAATTTCCCAGAGAATAAAGGACCAGTTTATAATTTTACGCGCTTAGATTATGAGGTTTTAAAAGTGTCTTTGGGGCTGGGCGTGGTGGCACACGCCTGTAATCCCCGTGCTCTGGAGGCTGAGCCAGGAGGATTACTGCAAATTTGAGGCCATCCTGGACTGCATAATGAAACCTTGTCTTCAAAAAAAAAGTCTTTTAAAAGTTTTTGTGTGTTAAGAATGAAAGGGAATTTTAAATTTGAGCAAGCCAGAAGGAGTTTATAGCCTCTAGTATCAGAAACAAGTGCTGCTTCTTGCAGTGTTCAAATGTTTAATGATTGCAACTTTCAGGAAACAAATGCCACAGTTGACAGACAGATCAGAGCCGTGCAGTTGTTATTTTTGAGGCGGTGTATGAATGTTCTGTTAATGAGTCTTTGACTGCTTTTTATCCTAGGGCTTATTACTGTGTTGGGCTGTTTCTCATGATTTACACAGAGCCTTTGCAATGATTTACATATGGTAAATGTGCCGAATGAAATTTGAGTGTCTTTCTTCAACTGAAAAGTTCTTGAAATTTGCCTTCTGTAGATTTTGCTTAGCAAAAAATTGGAACTGTAACCTCTGAAAAACTGAGCCAGGGAAACCTTTCATAGTTTGGACTTGGATGATAAAGAAGTGAAGATAGGGGTTCTTTTTTGTAGCTAATGCTGTGTTTGGTCATGAACGTCACGGGCTGATTGTGTACTTTGCTTTTAATGAAATTCTGTTTCAGTTTTGTGTGGTACACAAGATACCTGCCCTCCTTAAAACTGTGCAACACTGGATACATTTATTTGCGGGCTCTAAATTGTCATCCTGTGTGCTCTCACAAAGCAGTTCTAAGTGTGTTTCATTCAGTTACCTCTATTTTTTTTTGGAATATAAATTCCTCTCTAGTAACTGGAGTTTTGGGGGATACATTTAAATAAAGAATATTAAGACAAAAAGTCATGAATGAAAAGTTGCTGGTAAGTTGAAGCAAATCACTTACTGAGAATTTATCAGGGTAAGGACTTTTAATGTAATATATTCCTTTATTCATTGGCCACAGTAGACAGCTAGCAAATGAGGAGGGAGAAATAACTTGCCCAATGCCAGGCAACTCAAGAATCAGAAGGGGGGGATTTGAATCCAAGTCTGTTAAACTCTGCTGTTTCCACAACACTATACTTACTGCATGTATTTGTACAGTTTGCCTTACTGAGTGTTGGTGTGGAAAGGTGAGCTAGCGTTTTAGAGCCTCATCTTTCATTTTATACATCCAGAAACCAAAACCGACGTTTGCCTGAGTTAAATAGCAACTAATTAAAACCACACTGTAAGGGTGTTTCTAGTGTGACACTGAAATATATCATGCTGTTCATTGTGAAGGGGAACACGCGCGCGTGCACACACACACACACACACACACACACGGCAGAAGAGTAAAGGTAGCTTTTTAGTATTGTTACTTACAGAGGAAGTTGGGAAGTTACTTGAAGATCTGCTTTTGGGAATTTCTGATGATGTGTAGCAGAATAGCCAAAAGTTGAAGAATGAAGTTGAAACATGCTAAAGTAACTTTTAGGTTATGAATCCTGCACTGTTTCTTTTGAGTGCTGAGGATTAGCATTTGATTATTCAAGGCTATGTCAGTTCTTAATTTTCCAAGATAATGCATCCACCTAAAGTATCTGATTCTCAGAATTTCTTCTGTTTTGTTTGGTACCGGGAATCAAACTTAGGATGTTGTGCTTGCCAGGCAGGTGCTTGTGCCACTGAGCTATAGCCCGGCCTGGAATTTCCTCTGAATAGAACTGGTTTTACAAAACATACATACTGTAGATTTATCTAGGAAGCAGGAGTGGAAATAAAAAGTCTTTGACTGCAGGTGTTTGTGGGGTGGGCATTGTGAGGACATGAACATTTTTTGGTTATCTCTTCAGACTTCTTTTTTGTCAGCGTGTGGGATTTTAGGCTGAACTGGGCCTTTCTGGTTTTGGTCTGGTCTAGCACTTGTTTGAGAGCAGTGAGCGAAGACTCCGGTTACTTTTTCTAGGTGATGAACTGATAACTTCTGCGTGACAGTCATACTGTGTGGAAGTTTGTGAAAGTTGCTTGAGAAGCAGTGGAGGTCCTGTGTTAACGCCGAGCCAGGGGAAAGGATTTGCATCTTTCTTATACTCCTGAACCAGCCCTTGGATCTCTGTATCTGCTCTAGCTTTATGAAAAAGGAGGCGGCAGCTCACAGTATCAGCTCCACAGTCAGGCCCATGTTGCTGGGCTTGGTGAAATGGAAAGCTGTTGTCTTCGGTGCCCACCACAGCCATCTGCTGTGTGAATTTCAGAGACTTTGGAGTCAGCTTAACATGAGCACATCATGCCACGTTTTCTCTGGGTGGTCCTCCCGCAGCGGGAAGTGCTGGCAGTCCTTTAGGTTGTCCGATGGTGTGTTCTCACTTGTGTGCTATGCTTTGGCTATCAGAGTACTTTTACACACTTTGTTACTTCCATTTCTAAATTCCACAAAGGCAGGGACGCTGTGTCACTTCGTTATTTCTAGGGCCCAGTAAGTTGTTTGGCACAGAGAAGCCGCTTATGTAGCTTTAGAATGCAGTCATAATGGAGAGAGCAGGGCAGGAAGGCTGCAGCCCCTACTGTAGTAATGGCGAACCTTATAGAGACCAAGTGCCCCAACTGCAACCCAAGACCTGTTTATTTATCACACAGTGCCAACACTGCATTTAAACCTGAATATCTGATGCTTGGTTGCTGGAGCTACTTGGTTCACGTGCCATAGATTTGCCACCATTGCACACGATTCTGAGGGCCATGACTTAGCGTTGTGTTGAATTTTGATTTCATTGCTTATTCTGCTGAAATGCAGTATATATGTATGTTAAAAGAATACTGAAATGTAACCCCCACGTCACCAGAGTATTACCTATAAATCTTGCTCCTTTTTTCAGCACAGACTAATCCATTGTATTAGCATACTTTTGTTTTTTTGATTAGGTCTCTATTCATAGGCATTGATAATTTTGCACTACTTTCTTCTGTTACAAATGATGCTATAATAAACATCTATGTATGTTTCTGTGGTGCTTTATAAACATGTTTTATCATAGTATAGTGAATAAATCACTATACGTAAAATCATTGGTTCAAATGGTAATATTTCAGTAGACATTGCCTAATTTTACCTCCAAAATGTTGCTTAAATACATAATCAACAAAATTAATAATTAAAAAAAAAACTACCCATGGGAACTAAGAAGTCATTTTCAGACTTAATTAATGATAAGAATAGATGAGCCTTATAATTGAGTGAGGGAATATTGACTTTGACTATAGAGAAATGAGAGCTGGATAGGAATGCTATTACTGTATATGGATTTGAATAACTGTGCCTGTTATGGCTTGTGTTTAGATGTCTCCCCCAAAGCCTCATGGGGTCATAGGTGGAGCTTTCTCAGAGGTGGCTAAATCTAGAGTGTGTGATTAATTTGTGGTGCTAGGATTAAGGGTGCAAGGATTAAGCGTAGGTGATTAGTAAATCAGTCCACTGAATGGTCTGGCACTTGATCTCATACTGCCCTAATCACGGTAGCCTGGATACAATATAAGGGACAGAAAGAGGCTTGTCTTGCCACTTGTTGCTTTTGCTGTCTTTTGCCAAACACCATGAACTGTTCTCTGCAAAGCCACCCTGCCTTGGAGCCAGCCTATTGTGGACTGAAACCTCTACAAACTGTGAGCTAAATAAAACTTTTCTCCTTTAACTTTGGGTGTTTGGATATTTTGTCTTAGCAATGAGAAAATAGTAACTAGGACAATCCTAAGAGGACTGTCATTAGTTTGAAGTCATATGAATATATGTTATTATAATACCTGGAAACTTTAGTCTGGGGCCACAGAATAAGGACCAGGTGGTATGTTTAATAAGTTTGTAGATAATAAGGAACTTGGATGGTTAGCCTTTTGTGACCAGAGGTGGAATGTAGCAATAAAGGGCAGAAATTAGCCCTGAATCAACAGACCTAGATTTGAATCCCAGATCCACCACTTAATAGCTTTATGGTCTTGGGTAAGTTTATTAACCTCATTCTTCATGTCATTTTTTTTTTTTTAAACCTCTAAAAACTGGCTCATAAGTTCCTAGAAATATTGTAAGGCTTTATAAAGTACATTCAGGGCCTGGATGTTACAGAACTCTGGGGAACACCATTTATGTGGGATACAGTGCAATACACCAGTATTGTGCTGACTATTTAAAGAACCTGTTATAGTAGTTGGTTCTCGGTACTATACATGGTGGTTGCTATTCATCTAATGTAAATATTAACATCTATGAATTTCTCAACAGTCTAAAATGATGAATCTTTAACTTCACAGTCTATCCTCATTTTGAGGGGGATTAGAACAATTATATTTGTTGTAGAAAATTTGGGAAAAACAATTTGCTGTCCAAAATATTTTAAGTGTCCTTTCTTTTTCTTTCTTTCTTTCTTTCTTTCTTTCTTTCTTTCTTTCTTTCTTTCTTTCTTTCTTTCTGAGTCAGGGTCTCGCTGTGCAGTTCAGGCTCTCCAAAATATTTTTAGTGTCCTTTCTCTCTCTGTCTCTCTTTGTGTCTCTCTCTTTCT